TATTCTTCTAAGAATTCCTCCCAATCCTAATACTTGTTTATAGAAATCCAATAGAAATAAATTATTATAAAGAAATACTGGGAAAAAGGGAAAAAAAATTAAAATTACATGCTACAAGTGATCTTAAGTGTTCCAAATAAGAGTTAGGTCTAGTGTTCACCTATCAATGTACAAATGTAAAATTTTTCTAGGAAAAGCATGACTGAGACAACATCCTGAACCAAATAAACTATTTGTCATGGAATCTTTATTTCCAGACCTGAGGGAATGGCCTGTAGTTGTGTCAGGGGAGGCTTATGCTGAACATCAGAAAAAGGTTCTTCACCCAGGGGGTGGTTGGGCACTGGAACAGGCTCCCCAGGGAAGTGGCCACAGCACTAAGCCAGAGTTCAAGAAGCATTTGGATGATACTCTCAGGCACGTGGTGTGACTCTTGGGGATGGTCCTGTGCGGGGCCTAAGGGCTGGACTTGATGATCCTTGTGAGCCCCTTCCAATTCAGCATATTCTGTGATTCTATAGTGCCTTGTGCAAAAGCACTCCTATTATTTTCAACTGCACTATCCACGTGGTTATTCAAACACATACGGATGAGTGAATTCACAAGTAAACTCCTGTCTCTGAGCCAAGCCAGGCAATTGGTTACCAGCTTTCCCACTTTGCAACTGTTACACCAATTTTTCAGCCACATATAGAAAAATAATACCCTTAAGATAAAGCTACAAAACAGAACTTGTAAGCAGACTTTTAACCAATTCATTAAAGCATTACTGGGCAACTTTGAGGCACATATTCCCATGTCTTTGTGGCACTCGTGTACGTAGTCACTACAGACGTGGCTAGAGTATTAAAGCTACTTCAATACATTTGGCTACTGTTATAAATCCTGAATAGTGTCCAGGAAACTTACAGACAGCAGCACTAAAATAACCAAATTGGTTTTAGCCACTCCTAAATAAAATTTTGTTTTCCTGAAAAATGGTTTATTACTATAATAATTCAGAGTCAATGAATACTAAGTCACTTGGATAAGTTTTTGTGACATTTTTTAAAATTTGTAAATTTTCTCTATTTAGAAGAACCTTTTAAATATTAGTAGTTTATCAGATAACTACACTGCATAGGAGAAATTCCAGATTTATTTTGTGTTCCGATACATTCCTCCGAGCATCTTTAGGGATGACTAGAAAAGAGAAATGGCATCCTGTGTTTGCAATTCTCTGAGAATTTAAAAGATGGCAACACCACTCCCTCTAGTATGGAGAAGGAGAAGTGTTCAGTGCCTGCTGTTCTGGGGAAAGACCTCCAGACTAGTAATGACAAGAAAACAGATTAAGAAAAACGCTCAGCTCTCTCATAACACATTCATGTGCTACTCCTTTAGTCACTTAGGGAAAACAATAGAAAAGTCAGCCTCTAAAACATACTGATTAACATTTGTCAAAAGTAGTACTTAAGGAGACATTCTTATTATGGCTCCTATCCAGTTTTCAGTCACTGCAGTCCTCAAGGGAAAAAAATATTTTCAATAAATATTTTTAAATATTTTATTTTTTTATTATTCAAACAGAAAACTTTTTCCACACACTGCTTGCACAAATCGCTCAGCTGGTCTGTGTAGTCCCTGAAAGAAGTTGCCTGTAGCCTGCTCTTAGCATCTCACCAGAAGAAATCATGAAAAACCCTTGTCAGTTGTCCTCCTCCTATGCATTCTACTTTGGTATCCAGTATTTCTGTAAAAGATCTAACAGTATAAGCACCATTTCCTAATCCCCCTTTTTACCGACGTATGTTAGGGAGGAATAAAGCCCACTGTAGCAAAGATGACATTTGTACATAACAATCCCAAAAATATGTTAACCTAACGCTTTGTTTATTTAGTCTGGCAAATGCTTTGATTTAACCACAAGTATCTTTAGTAAATATCAGCAGTAAACACAAATTGATAGTTGGCTAATGAGCCTCCCTTATCTGTATTTCTAATTAAGGTTCTTCCTAAATACCAAGTTATGTTTAAAACAAACATTCTACAAAGAATCAAAGCAAAATCAAATGATGAAGTATTTCTCTTTGTGGAACTGCACATTTATATGGGCATCCTCAGCAAAGGGAAGGAGATCATGGAATCCATGTGTAATAATTCCTCCATCCTTTTCCTCCAGATATGCAGAAATATTTTCTTGTCCTTTTTATTTGTATTGCAAACTTTAATGTCTCTTCCACAGCAGGTAAAAGAGGTTGTATGCACTCTTTATTCAGAACACAATTCCCAGTAAAGAGTTTATCTGTGTGTTTAAATGTGCATATAAATATAAACCCCCACACAAGTATTTTTAAAATTGTAATCAGATTGTTGAACTGAGAGGAAAAGATCATGATATGCTAAATAAGAGCTTCATTTTCATGTGAGGAAACATCAATTAACTGAGTTCTGTACAGCTGAGTGGCTTAAAAACTTCAGCCAAACACTGAACTGCTCCTTTTTACTTATTACAGCCAACCCTGCCAAAAGACCATAAAAATTGATTTTATGTTTCCGGTGTCTCTATGCTAGCTGGAAAAATATAGATTTTTTTTTTCCTTTAGGTTTCTGACAAACAGAACCTTCCCTTATCTCACACCTTCTCAACTACTACACTAATCAACACTGAGCATCTTCTCAGTCAGCTCTTATATCTGATTTAAGTTATGATTAAGGTAAGAGAACATTTCAGATTGTTTAATCAAACACTGTTTTGTATCTATGGTTTTAAAGGGCTTCTTGCCCACCCGTGGAACAGAAAAGGCTATATCCCACTTGTGCTGCTATGGCATACATGGTAACAGATTATTTTTCACATTTGTTTTGGAGAAGTGTTAGATTTGCTCTGTTAGTCTGTGAGCTACCTCTTTAAATTCCAGTATCAATCCTTAAAATGGATTTAGCATCTTTTGCATCAAACATTAATAAGGCTCACTTAGGCGCTCTTAATGCGAAGGAAAATTGGGCTTGTATGAAATGGCTACACTGGAACATTTCATGCTTTTGCAAGTGCAGGAGTATGATTATTTCCTACAGCATGTCATTATCTTATGCCCTGTGGTTCTTTTTTAAATTATCTCTTCTCACTCAAGCTGCCTACACTACATTTTTAAGCTATATAGTTTCAATTTATGAATTGCATGGATGCAAATTTTGAGCAACTATACCACATTAAAGTATATTCCCCTCAGACACTACTAATAAAACAACAAATACAAAAAGCTTGGAAGAAAAAAAGATGCGTATTTGACTCAAGACATAAAATCAGGTCATTTGTTTCCAAGACAGACAAGAAAATACTATTCTAGACATATGTGCAATCTCCTTACACTTCTGAGCAGGTTTATTTAAGCTTGGCAGGAGATGTCATTTCACATCCTCACAAAGCAAATTAGTTCACTGCTTACTTGTCCTTGTACCCAAAAGCTCCCCCTCCCTTTTTCAGGGACACTCCTATAACAACTGCTCATCTGTAACTCTAGATGTCAACTCACCAGGGAAAGGAGACTCCCCTTGGGTCTACAACTACCATCTTCCGCTTCTTAGGATGAAGTAACTCTCACAGACAATAAAGCAGTTTAAACAGCACATAACAGATTAACATGCAACATGGATGGCATACTGCACAGCAGCTCTGAGGATGAGTATCACCATTGCAGATTAGTAGTCTATTTGTCTATAACATGTATGTGTATCTAAAATTACTCTACTGACCTTTGTACAGAAAATATTATTTCAGAGCCATTGAAATATTATTGCACTACAACATTTTGCATTGAGTTTACAGGGCAATAAAGACAGAACTCCTTCTTCACCCACAAATGGCTATTAAAAAAGGAAAATAAAACTTGACATCCCCAGACAACCAAAAGAAATGATTTGTTTGGATGCCAACATCTGTCTCGAGATTGTGGCCAAGTGCTTTTCTGTGCTCATTTAGGACTCAACTTGGAAAGCTTTTCAGTTACGTTTACCTAGAGATTTCTCTCTACCCCTTCCCATCTGACAGAAATCACTCAGCTGGGTCTGATGAATAATAGCAAAAGGCAGCTTGTATCAGAGATGATTGAATTACAGATTGTTGAAAGTACCACAAAGGCTCATTCCAATGACTACATTTAATTTATTTACTACACTGACTACCGGAAGCTAGTAGTCGTTTGATATCTTTATTTCAGAAGACTGGAAACAAAAGAAATATTAATATTCTTTGCCACTTTCTTACTACTGTCCCTAGTAGAGTTTGATAGCCAAAATTAACTTTTAAACATACCGTGTGCGTCTGGGAACCAGACTAAAACGTACCCCAAATCAAAGCAGGGCAAGCAGTATTCCGTAAAATGAAGGAAATAATGTCAAAGAAAATGAAATTGCACGGAAAGAAAACGCGTTAGCCTGGCAGCCTTTCTAAGTAATGTGGGAAAGGGTTTTGTGAATTGATACACAAATGATGATTAGATGTCCTGCGGTCCAGAGGGAAGACCAGCGCCGGCGGGGGCACACCGCAGTGCCCCACCGCTTTCGGCAGGGGCGGCCGTCGGGACAGACCACCCTGCCGAGGGCGAAGGCACAGCGGTGGCAGCAGCCAGGTGACACCCGGAGAAACAAGTTGGCTCGGCGACCGCCTGGGCGCCGGCTCCGGGCAGCGGCGGGGAGAGATGGAGGGATGCAGGGTGGACAGCTCCCCTCTTCTACAGCCAGAGCGGGGGGCGGCGACAGCGGAGCTCCGCGGGGGCGGCGGGGGGGGGGGGGAAGGGGGGTGCGGGCGCCCCCTTTGTCTGTGTCGCCCCTCCCGTAACCGGCCCTACCCCCGCCGGGAGCGCTCCGGGGGCGGGCCCCCGCCCCCCGGCAGCCGCGGGCAGAGCCGCCGGCCGCCCCCGGAGCATGTGCTCTGCCCCCGCCCGCACAGCGGGCGCCCCCCCTGCCCGAGGCGACGCCGCCCGGGCGCGGCAGCGGGCAGCCCCGGAGCTCTGCCTTACCTGGCAACCGGGTCGGGCGCTCCGGGCTCGTCCTTCAGCCTCTCCCCGCGGCGGCACCTCCCGGGGCGAGGCTGCGGTGCACGGCGGGGCGCGGGCGGAGCGCCCCCGGCACGGCGGGCAGGTTGCCCCGGTTCCCTGCGCTCGGCGGGCTGGCGGCGCGCCGGGCGCTAAGTTTGAGCGGCGGTGTCAGCCGCCGGCGGGCAGGGCAGTGCAGGGCGGGCGGGGCGGCGGAGGCGGCACGGGGGCTGCGCGGCGCCCGGAGCGCCGCCACACTGCAGCGTCTCCAGGAATCCCTCCCGCGAGAGGCAGCCCATCACCCCCGGCCCAACGCCCTCATTGGCTGCGGGGCGGGGACACGCGCCCGGGCCGCCAATGGCGAGGCGCCCAGCATGGGTGGAGCCGCCGCGCCGGCCTCGCCCATCCCGCGACCGCCCGGTCTCCGTCCTCCCCGTCGGGCGGGGCCGGGCGGTGGCGAGCGGGGGAGGAGGAGGAGGAGGGTGAGGAAGAGGAGGGGGAAGATGGTGAGGATGAGGAGGGGGAAGATGGTGAGGATGGTGAGGATGAGGAGGGCATCCCCGCGCATGGCGGGCGTGGCTGGCATTCCCGGGGCTGCCGCCCGGCAGCACGAGGCGCTGTGCCACAAGCACAGCGGCCGTCGGGTGAGCGGGGTGCCCCGGGCGGGGCGCGGCAGGAGCCCTCGCTGGTTGGTCGGCGGGAAGCGGAGGCGGCGGCGACGACCCCCGCCTGGCGTTGTTGGTACTTTTAGCGAGCCTGCGGTGCGCAGCCCTCCCTCTGTGGCGGCCCCTGGGCAGCTCGCACCGGGTAGTCGCGACTGAGCGGTGAGTCGTAATTGGCCTGTGGCTTAGGCGAGAGCAGACCGTATCGCGTGTTCAGGTAAGGACGTGCAAGGGTTAACTTAATTCCCTTGATCTATCCACTCTGAACTGGAGCTTTGATTAACATTGGTCTGCAAAATGTAACTGTAGCAAATTCAATTAAGGGGAGCACATTTCTTCAACTTTTAATTAGATCTACCCTATTTGTCTAATGTTTAATATAACATAAAAAGCTACTGAGGTTCCAAAGGGAAATGAAAATAGATTTAGATGTAAGCTTAGGTTTTAAAAATACAACAGACTAAAGTTCTTTGTTCTTCAGCATATATTATTACTGCATCTATACCCTCAAAGGCACAGGAGGAAAACAATTTTACCTGTAAAATTGCAAACATAACAGTGTGGTATTTATGTAAGAGTTTCCTATAACCTTTAATTAGTCACAGAGTACCAAACATACAGGTTGTAGCCCAGGTTTGATGCACTACTGTGCAGGCTACTGCTGGATTACAGTTGTTCTAAGAAAACTTGAGAAAGTAGTGATATATCTCACAACTATTTAGTCGATTTCAGTTAGTAACCGAGAGTGAAACTTATCTACAATTCATCTTAATATGATAAATAGCAGATGTTAGCAAAGAGAGAAGCCCAGCAAAGAGCGGAGCCCGTATGCCATCATTAGTAGGTAACTGAGAAAGTAATGAAGCTCCCAGGCTCATCTCATAGGTGACTTACTATGCCTTCAAATGAACTTCATCCCGCCATTCCCCACCCATACTTTCATGGTGGGATTTGCCTCTAAAAGTCACAGCCCTTTTCCAGTTCAGTTTGAATACACATTTTCTGATCACATCAGTGCTAGACGTGTTCTTAGGTCTGTTAGGCAAAATATCGGTTTTTCTTTTATGGGCACATTAGATCATGAGAGGGGAAAGGACAACAAATGCAAAAGAAATTATGTTCTAAAAGTCTTGCTGAGCTATGGAAAGGAGAAACCACCATAATTTAAACTGCATGTGTAGAAGTGGTCTCCTGTGCCTAGATTACCCTGTCTGATGTAAAACTGTTGCCGTTTTCTCTGTCCCGATGCACTAGAATTTGAGGACTATTTTCTCTAGGATCATTTATCTGGTCAGTTTAAAAAACCCACACGTTTCAGTGCTAGTAATTATGAAGACTTGATGCTGAGTTCCTAACAGCCACACAGCCAGAAGTCTGTAGGAGTCTGACATTCACAAGGCATGACACATCATACTCTGTCTTCGTATTTGAGCAAAGACAAGAAACATCATTAAGCCCAATGGCCCCTCCTTAGTGTAGAGACAGTAAGGAACAGAAATGCTATCTAGCAGTAGCCCCAAAGAGTATACCATGACTTTCTCACTCTCTGACTGTGGTAGTCCCTACATGATTATTCTGCTACATTTGAAAAAAAAAAAAAGGAAAGCTGTAGTAGGGGCTGGGAGAGTAGTGGGAGAGATTTCACCTAATATTTTCTGAGCTTGGCTGTTTGCAATAAACAAATTGCTACAGATGCAGCACATGCATGCATGCTTCCTTCTAGCTCACATGCTTCCTTCAGTTCCTTTCGGGTTCAAGGTTTATTGATAGAGAAAGAGGTTTTATTTCACTACTGAATTCTCAAGGAAATGGATGTTTACTATCCAGTCATTATGTTAATTATACCAAAGAAGCTGGGAGACTTGAGGAATGACATACATATACAGAATGGGCAAGGATGTTCTAGAAGAGCTTAGGAGCCATTTGATGAATGCTTGGAGTGCTAGCCAAATGCTAGCCACTAAACTCATGAATCGTAGATCACTGTATTTTTTACTGTGAAGGTTTTTCTGAATTTTTTTTTTAATGTGCTCTAGTGTATCAGAAGAGAATTTTAAATAGTGTCTACCATTCATAAGTTCCTACTAAGGAATCCCACTAAGTACAAATGAAGAACTAGATTTTATATTCTTCATATGCCTTGTTTTTAATTTAGACTTTGACTGAGCCAGAGATACAGGAGCATCTTGAAAGAATTTAAATAAAAAAGCAAAACCAGAAAGGATGCAATGTTTGTCTTTGCCATTTTCCTTTTTTATGCTCTGTATACTATATTCTCAGGCCTATTTTGGCAAGTTTTATGGCATATAAAGAGCAAATACTAGAATAACAGTCACTGAACTGAGGCTAATTCAGAAGCAACAGCTGTTGTTACAGGTAAAAAACTAGCAGTGAGGGCTCTAACTTTGAGCCCAAGCTGCCGTCAGTTTCCTTTTGTATGTCAGCCTTTGTGTGACCAAGCATCACAACTGCCACTATTAGATGTACAAGATGAGAAGTCAGGTAAGTCCTGAGAGCAAATCAGTGGCAGGTGAATGAGTAAATGATACTGGTGGCATGTTAATTTACTTGAACAAGTAGAGTCTAGATCTGTAAATTAGCTGTTTGAACTGTGACTGTCATGATTCACTGCCCTTGTGTTGCATGAGATCACACATACCTGTCTTTAACAGGAAGATGTTTTTATTTTGTTCTTCATTATCATGTAATTTACTCCTATTTTTACTTTGATTTGACCTTTTCCACCCTCAAGTTTCTCATTTTGAGAGAGGTTCTTTTGCATGAAGACAAAGGAATTGGCTTGTGCTTAGGGAAATGGAACAGCTTTTCAAATTAAGTTCTGATTGCATGAGTTCAAGCACATGTTTCTGAAACTTCTTTTAGCAAATTAAATGCATGCTCTTGATTGTTTGGGTTTTTTTTTCTAGTTGACTGGGAATCTAAGGGCTGCTCTGTATAGCTGAAGATTAAACACTTGGAATCACATTTTTAGTGCTCTGTTGTCACATCCTTGGTATCGGTAAAGTTTCCATAATACATATTGGGTGACGATGTTGTATTTAGAAAGCATTCCCAGTCAGGCAGCCAAATCTGCATCAGAACATAAAAACAAGAAAACTAAGTTCCAAAAGTGAGAATTAACCTTCAGTAAAATTAATAAATACCGGAGTAACTGTTCAGCTGTACACAACTAACAAAAGTGTCATATGAAGTAAATCTTTGAAGATAATTTTTGTGTTTGCAACTTGGGTAGAGAGTGGAGAACAAGTGTTGGGGGTTTGTGGTTTAAATTCTAGCTAAAAATCAATGAGTGAAATCAAAGAACTTGTTAGTGTGCTCACTGATGTTTGTCTGAGTGTGTCATTTGATTTCATTGTTTTCTTCTGTTTGATCTGTACACATCTGCTGCTGCTTCTAAGTTGTTTAGGCAGAGATGTTCTCTTTTAATCTGCATTTGTATAGCAGCTGACACTGAGAGCTCCTGCTCTGTGCCCTGGGCTCCTGGACACTGTGGCAGCAGAAATGAAAATGAGAACAAAAGTTCTCTTTTATGAGGGGATGTTAAAAGTGTAGCCAAACCAACCTGCATAAGCTTTGCACAGATGTCAGGTATGTAATGCAAGGACCGATCTGAGTCAGTGTCAGTCTGTTCCCCTGTAGATGGTGCCCCTAGTTCAGGGATTCTCTTTTGGGTTTTCAACTCTCCCTCCCTAATCCTGCTCCCCACTTTGAAAGTCAGTTTTCACCAAAGTGGTGCTCAGGGTGGTACTCCAGAAGAAATGTGTTTTCAGTGTGGGTAAGATGAGCTGGACTGAAGTCCTAGTTCCCTTTCAGGTGGAATCTACTGTATAAAATGCCAACCGCTGAACCCTTAGCTTCCAGAGCACCCAGATATTGCCAATTTCCTTACCTTATGGTGGTAGACATTATGGCTTCCCCATGCAAAATTTCTAATCTGTGGTGAGCATATGCATCACATGGATGACTGTGTAATAGAAAGAATGTGAAGTGGAATTTATAATTTAATTTTGAGGAGCTGACCTTGCAAAGCAGGTCAGTAATGATAGTGTTACCTCCAAGGCGAGGGTCCAGAGTGAAACAATGTCTTCAAATGGATACAAATGATTATCACAATGTGCATAAGAGAGGATATTCCGTTGCCTCCAATAAAAAATAAGGATAACTCCATTGGAGAGACTGGAATGAATTGCCTATTAAGTGCAAAATATGCTTGTTTTTACACCACCCTGAGAGTGGAATGAAGATGAATAGTATTAGAATATATAGAGAAGTGAAATGGAGCTAAAACCTTATGGCTTCAGGCTTCCTAAATTTCATGTCTCTAATTTGAGATGTCCACAAAACTTTCCCCATGCAGCAGACATACAACAAAGATCCGTCAGAAAGCCAGCCCAGCCATGAAGCATGGCAAGTTCTACCACCTAACTATGCAGAGTAGGCCAAGAACTTCCATGTGAATTAAAAATGGGATAAGGTTACTAGGGTAAAGAACTAATTAATGTATTTTAAATTTCAGAAAATTCTTTTGAATATCAATAGCCTGATAAATAATTCTCAAGGGAGTTTGTTTTCATTTAGCTCACGCTGTCATGTCATTCAAAGCCACAGTGAAATTACCCTAGTATTTATATTTAAAATGCCAATCATGAAAGTGTCAGAATTTTTCTTTTAC